AACAAAAGGTCACCAAAAAAAATAAGATTCATGAACAAGACAAAAGGTTACCAAAAAAATAAAATAAAATAAAATAAAAAATAAAAAAAAAAATAAAAAAAAAAAAAAAAAAAAAAAAAAAAAAAAAAAAAAAAAAAAAAAAAATATAAAAAGCTATTACATAGTAAACAATTGAAAAAGGGTAAAATAGTCTTTTGTTCATTTATCCTATCCAGTCCGTCCAACCAAACGTTGGATTCACTCAAAATAGTCCTATCCAGACATCTAATCCCATGAAAAAACAAACACAGGATACATATCCAATCCGACCAAATGGTCCGGGGGATTTACAGTCCCAGGACTCAAGTCCGATGGATTCTAATCCCTCATTTTCCAGTTCGTCCAATCAAACACACCCATATGTATATGTAGGATAACTCTATCTCAAGAACATGTGGGACATAAAGCTCAGGTTCAGCTCATGATTGGGATTATCCTGAGCTTGTTGAAATAAAATTAAAATCTCAACTAAAATAAAATTTATATAATTTTAGTAAATTAAAAGTTCAATTTATTCAATTTATTTAATTAAAAGTTTAATTTATTTAAAAGTTCAAATTAAAATAAAATTAAAAAATCTCAACTAAAAATTAAAATAAATTTATATATTTTTTATTGATGTTCTATTTATTTCATTTTTTAAAAGTTTTAATAACAAATTAAATAAAATAGGATACACATTAGATTCAATAGAATAGTCCAATCTAAACATCTAATCACATGACTAAACAAATATAGGATTTAATAGAATAGTTCAATCTAGACATCCAATCGCATGACTAAACAAATAGTTTGAGGACAACGTATCCAGGACTAACAATCCGGTAGATTTCAATCTCCCTTATCCAATCCTGCCAAACAAACATACCCTTACGCTGTGTTTAGTTGAGGGATTTGGGAAAGAATTTGAAAAGAAAAATGAAAAATATATGTGAAACTAGGTTAAGAGATTTGGGAAGGGATTTAGAAAGTGAAATGAGGGATTAGAATCCATCGGACTTGAGTCCTGGGACTGTGAATTCCATAGACTATTTGGTTGGATTGGATATGTATCCTGTGTTTGTTTTTTCATGGGATTAGATGTCTAGAAAGGACTATTTTTAGTGAATCCAACGTTTGGTTGGATGGACTGGATAAGATAAATGAACAAAAGACTATTTTACTCTTTTTCAATTGTTTACTAAGTAATAGCAATATTAAACATATCTTTAATATTTTAATATTTTTAGCTAGATTAAATAAAAATTTATTTTATTTTATTTTTTACACAATTAAACATGTATATTTATTTAACATCTATTAAATTATGTTTTAATACGTCAACATTTGATTACATCTACATTTGTTAATTGTTAATTACATCAACATTTGTTAATTGTTTAAACATAATCTGTACATCAAAATAATTTCAATGTTAATTGTTTAAATAAAAATTTAAACATTTAACCATTAGTATGTTTAATTTCAACAATAAATTTTTATTTGTTTAAATAAAAATAATCTATACCAGTCAAATTTTTTTATCAATATTAGTATGTTTAAATATCTTTAAACAAAATTTAACCATTAGTATGTTTAATGTTTACTAAAAATAATTAAAATATTAAAGATATGTTTAATATTGCTATTACTTAGTAAACAATTGAAAAAGGGTAAAATAGTCTTTTGTTCATTTATCCTATCCAGTCCGTCCAACCAAACGTTGGATTCACTGAAAATAGTCCTATCCAGACATCTAATCCCATGAAAAAACAAACACAGGATACATATCCAATCCAACCAAATAGTCTAGGGAATTCACAGTCCCAGGACTCAAGTCCGATGGATTCTAATCCCTCATTTTCCAGTTCGTCCAATCAAACACACCCATATGTATATGTAGGATAACTCTATCTCAAGAACATGTGGGACATAAAGCTCAGGTTCAGCTCATGATTGGGATTATCCTGAGCTTGTTGAAATAAAATTAAAATCTCAACTAAAATAAAATTTATATAATTTTAGTAAATTAAAAGTTCAATTTATTCAATTTATTTAATTAAAAGTTTAATTTATTTAAAAGTTCAAATTAAAATAAAATTAAAAAATCTCAACTAAAAATTAAAATAAATTTATATAATTTTTATTGATGTTCTATTTATTTCATTTTTTTAAAAGTTCTAATAAAAAATTAAATAAAATAGGACACACATTAGATTCAATAGAATAGTCCAATCTAAACATCTAATCACATGACTAAACAAACATAGGATTTAATAGAATAGTTCAATCTAGACGTCCAATTGCATGACTAAACAAATAGTCTGAGGACAATGTATCCAGGACTAACAATCCGGTAGATTTCAATCTCCCTTATCCAATCCTTCCAAACAAACATACCCTTACGCTGTGTTTAGTTGAGGGATTTGAGAAAGAATTTGAAAAGAAAAATGAAAAATATGTGTGAAACTAGGTTAGGAGATTTGGGAAGGGATTTAGAAAGTAAAAGGGAAAGGGTATGTGAAATTATGTGAAATGTAAGTATATTTTATTTATATTTTACCTGCCTTTTCTTTTTCTATTTTTAATTTTTTTTTTCAAATTCTCTAACCAAATACAGTATTAATGTTTTAGATGATTGACTGGACATGATTTATTACATGATAGTAACGTAGTATATTGATTAATTCTTTATAGTTGCTCGTTAATGCCTTCATACGAACACCTTCATATCAGAGTGTCAATTTCGTGAGACCATGCAATGGGAGGTTGGGGACAAAAGTATTAAGGTAACATGTTTTTTAAAAGAGGTAGGGTAGTTATTGTAACTTGTCTCGTTCTCTAATAGATGAGTTATTATAATAGTTATTTTAATCAAAAAATAAAAAAATTAAAAAAATTAAACTAGTTATATTTAAAGAAACATTCAGAGGCTTTGTAAATCATTTGTGTAGATAAATAGACAAAATAAAAAGTAAGGTTAAGCACAAAGATAAAAAGAATAAATAAAATAGTTAGATAAAATAAAGAGAAATGGAAAAAATAGAGAAATATGAATGAAATAAATTTTTTTTAATATTTATTTTTAAATTTTTATTTAAATTCATAATTCAATTACAACATGGCCTAATTTGGGAACTTGGTTAAAAGTCAAAAATTAACTTTTAGCCTATTTTGAGTTGCATCACCTCTCTACTTTTTTACACGTTTTAAAAAAAAAAAATTTAATTTTTAACCTACTTCTCAAAATATTATATAATTTTAGTTTTCTTTTCTGTTTTTTGGCCACAACAATTCGTCCAATTATTGAATCAAATTACAGGGACGATTGGCTTTTTAGAGCATCATTAGCCTCACCAAAATAGTAAAAAGATAATATAGCTAGCAAATTATAAAATTCTTGCTCCATCGGTCTTAACAAATTATTTCTAAATTAGCTTTTGGTTGAATTTGTTACAGTACCTTTGTTGAGGTACTATTCATTAGTTATTCAATAGTTTATTATTTTTTTGAGACAAGTTAATATATTTTTTATTATGTTTTTCACCCACCGGACGTTCTCCCCTACGCCCACTCGGATGTCCTTGCAGAGAAAGAATTTTGTTGAATTTTGGCCTGATCGATCGACCGGCCCTCAGTGGATTTGCCTCCTTTGGCTGCCGCTGCTCTGGTACACTTAAAAAAAAAAAAATTTGAAAAAGATAAAAGAATAAAAAATAATATTTTAATAAAATAGAATTTTAGAATAGAGTTTGATAGAACAACAATGATAGAGACCACTAATTTGGTGGCTCTAAACCCATCACTAATGAGGTGGAAAAGCAAAAAAAAAAATAGACACAACACATACTGTGACAGTGGATGGGACCCACTGCCACATCATTAGTGATAGCTCTAATTAGAGCTCCCACTCATTTTCCTTGATAGAATATGTACATAAAAAAAGAGGTTAGTTGAAATATAAAAGTAAATTTTAAATTATAGTTTAATTCAAAATTTACTAAAACTCATGTAGATGCTCTTAGGGTGTCATTGTACAGAAAAGAATTCATCCAAATCTATCTCCATCCAAACCCACATGCTCTACGGTAATTCAAATTCATCCAAGATTAATTCACAACTCATGCCAGAAATTGAAAATGACTTTGACGCACAGCCCGTGCGCTCGCTCTCTCTCTCTCTCTCTCTCTCTCTCTCTCTCTCATACTACAGATAAATTATACTTTTTACCGTTATATTTTAATTTAAATTTCACTCAGTTTCAATGTATTTTGTGTAAACAGTTATTAATTTCTTTTGAGTCCAACTATAAATTTAGAATCATTTATCTAGAATTTATTTAGAAATAAGAATTAATTGTTCAAATTCATTTCATTACACTTTATTAATTTAATCTCTATTACACAAATAGATTCTAGGTAAGTCTAGGTTCCTAAATTTTTTTTATATATTTATTTTACTATACAAAAAAATTGTTAATTTTGACATCGACAGATAGATTATATTAAAATTGAACATAAGAATTTAATGATCAAATTATTCAAACAAACAATATGAATCAAAATAAGATTTAAGTCAAGCTATAAGAATTAAGGCCTTGTTTAGGAATAAATGATTTTAATCGAAAAGTAAAAAAATCTACTATAATTTATCAAATTAATCTCTTTATTTTTTTTTTCATTTTTTTGTAAAAAGTCAATTATCAAACCAGTTCTAAAAGTGTAATTTAGCATAACATTATAGGACAAATTATACAGAAATGAGACAATCACAAAATAATTACACTACATATGAAAATTTGTATACTACAATTCTAAATACTTGCATCAGGAATTGGTTTGCACCGTACAAAAAAAATAAAAAAATAATCCTGACACCACAAAAAATGCAATTTCCCCTATTGACCCCGCTACGTAGCTCGATACTCGGTGGCTTGAATTTGGCTTTCTTTTTTCCTGTGTTTTTGTTGCAAAAGGAAGAAGAAAATAAGGGAGAAGAAGAAGAAGGGTGGAGAAGAAGAAGAAGAGTGGGTCTGCAGATCGGGAGGAGGAAGAAGGAGAAGTGGAGGGGAGGGAGCCATGAAAATCGGGCTGGAGGAGGAGGCGGGGCTGCGTGGGACCGCGACGGAGGAGGAAGAAGAAGGACTGGAGGGGAGCTGCGACGACGGCGGGGAGCTGCGACGACCTCTCCTCTCTCTTTCTCCCTCTCTCCTCCTCTTCCCCTCTCTTCTCTTTCGAGCCATTTTTTGAGCCAATTTCTCGAGCTACCAATCTTTTTCCTTTCCCCTATATTATCTGAGCTGTCTGTGCGTTATATGAATGAGTAATGCTACATATATTCACATATTTAATTTATAAACTTATTTATAATGATGTGATAAAATAAAATCTTTAATCATTAAATGTGTAATTAATCAAAATTAACCCATACCATAAGATATCATTATTGATAGAAGTGTGAGAGTCTTTTTTTAATCTCAAACTTTTTCCTTTCCTTATATGAACCAAGACATTTCCAGACTACTTTTTCTTCACTTCGACAGGGGCAGCCCTTTTCTTCAACCATCACGAAATCCAAGATGGGGTTTCAGTTAGAAGCTGTGATTCTGTCTCTGCTTCTGTATGTGTTTCTGTTTGCAGACCAAACAAAGGCTGAGCAATTCATCACTAATGCTACCACTAGTTCCATAGATAGGAACAGTGGTGGTGGTTGCAATATTTTCAGAGGCAAATGGGTATACGATGCATCATACCCTCTTCCATACGACTACTCTCTAAGCTGTCCCTTCATTGATCCTGAATTCAATTGTCAAAAGTACGGTAGACCTGATAAATTGTACCTCAAATACAGGTGGCAACCCTTCTCATGTCACCTACCAAGGTACTCTCTCTCCTCTAACTCTCTCTCTCTCTGAATACACACTCACTCTTTCTCTCTCTAAAATGGGTAATGCATAAAAATGGTGTAGGTTTAATGGGTTGGAGTTTTTGGAGAGGTGGAGGGGGAAGAAGATCATGTTTGTGGGTGACTCACTGAGTTTGAACATGTGGGAGTCTTTGAGTTGTATGATACATGCTTGGGTCCCAAGGGCTAAGACCACATTCTTCAAGAAAGGTTCCATTAGTTCAGTTACATTTGAGGTCAGTTTGGCTTCTACCCAATTTTCTTCACCTCAGTTTGATTATCAAAAATCAAAAAAACATTTTGCTGGTAGAATGCATGCATGTATTCTCTATTTCATTTTTGGTAATTTATTTTTCTCACTTTTTAATTTTTGGAATTTGTAAAAACAATATGGGACTTGAACCTTAACAATAAAATTCATGATCTAAAGGACACATATAATTATAAAGTTGGTCGTTTTGCATCTTAATTTTAGTTGTATACATTTGAATTCTAATCCAATGTTTTAGGTTATCCTATCTTCTTTGTTTTCTTTTTCAATTTTTTTTTTTTTTTATTTTTTATAAGAAAAAAAATTGATTTTCTTATCTAGTTGTGAAGCAATGGTATAAGTCATTATGCATGTTTGGAACTTTTAAGTTATATTTTGAACTATTTTACATGAATTCTTCTAAATTTGTGAAATACTAGACAGTAATATGCTTGATTAGAGATGTTCACTCAACAAGTATGTATAAGTGTAGTCAAATTTACTAATACATAAGCTTTTTAATTTGTATATTTTATTTTATCTTTGAAAAGTAACAAATTTTTTTAAAAAAATATGAATATAGGTGTGTTTTGGTATTCTTGACATGAAAATTAGAAAAATCTGATATTTAGACACATTCTCATACCTCGATGAAACCTATATTATATTGATTTCTACGAAATTTAAAATAAAAAAAAATGGACAAATTACACCAATGGCTCTATATTTTAGAGTTTGTGTTATTTTGGTCAATGACCTTTCAATCATGATATATTTGATCTTAAATTTTGTATTTTGTTCCAAATAAGAAAAATTTCATTTCAAGGGCAAAGTCATTAATTGAATAAAATATAAATTAGGTTGATAAAAATAAATGTCAAAAAGTTATTTTTGAATTAAAAAAAATTATTCGTACCCACTAAAAATAAAATTACATAAAAATGATAAATCTTTTACATTTTTATATTTTTTACCAAATTAATTTTTAGTATGTGTTTGGATGATAATCATGTAATAGGTGGTTGTTTTTATTGATATTCTTAGATGGTTACCATGTAATAGATGTTTTTTTTTTATTATTGATATTTTAAGATAATTATTATGTAATGAATGATTATTAAGTTTTTAATGTATAAACGATATGTTTAATATATAAAATATTTTTAATTTTGAATTTTTTGATTTAATGGATTGGTTTAATAATGATATCAAAATTGTCTCCATATTTGACTTTTGAAAACAGAGAAACTTTAATGAAAATAAATATCAAAATTTTAATTTTAATTTAAAAAAATTATTCTACCCTCCCAAAAGATAAAAATATATAAAAATGAGTTGTATGACGACTTTGTCCTTGAAATGAATTGTTTGCAAAAGAAACATTTTTTTATTGTCCTTATTTAAAATAAGATTCAAAATTTAGGATCAAATGTATCATAATTAAAAAGTCATGAACTAAAGTGACAAAAACTCCAAACTATGAGGACTGTTAGTATAATTCACTTTAAAAAATTACAATAATTTTCACAATTTTAATATAATCATACTGATCTTATTTTTAATAAGGTTAAAACAAATGTAAATAGTGTGTAAATACATGAATAATTAAAATAAAATATTAATATTAATATAAAAATTATGGCAATATTATTTATTCATCTATAAAATTATTAATTTCATGCGGTTGAACTCATAATTAAGGGATTAAACAAATCAAAATAAATCTAGGAAATGTGACTGTAAAGTTTAAGCAATGTGTATTGTCGTAAATGAAAATAAATCTTGGAAAATAGATTCCAAAGTTAATTAAGAAATGTGTCAGGTTATTGTCGTGGTCATGGATTCATAATCATCCATTAATTAATCAAAAACCAATCATTGAAATTTTTCTGAAAAATATAAGACTTTAAGGGCAATTAATGATTTTGTCATTACTTTTAGGAAGAAGGCAGCTTGAAAATGACTTGATAAATTATGGGCCAATTATTCATTTATTGACAGTGATATCATCACGTTACAAATTGATTTGAATCATTTATTGGATTTTGTTTTATAATAAAATAAATTTTAATTTTTTTATTTTGTTTAATTAAATTTTAATATTTTAATTTATTTTTAATTTAAATTATTTATTTATTTTTATTAAGTAAAATTGTCAAAAAAATATATTTTAGTCGAAAGTATACAAAAAATATATTTTTTTAACAATTTTATTTAACGAAAATATATGAATAATTTAGATTAAATTAAATTAAAATGTTAGAATTTAAATTGACAAAATAAAAAATTTAATATTTAAGTTGTTACAATGAATTCTTTTTTGATAATTTTTCATTTATTTTGTGACTATGAGTTCTCTATTTTTCTCTCCCACACTATCCCAATGATGTGACAAACAATACTAATTAATCAATTCTTTTCAAACTATTCTCTCTCTTTTCAAAATTATTTGTCACATTATTAGAATTAAAAGATTTACATTGCTCTATTTATAAATAGACGATATACTCTTTAATTTTAAATTCTTTTTTCAAGTACATCAAAAAAATAAAAATTTAATCAATTTTTTTTAATACAACGAAAAAAAATCTAATTAAGTTTTTTTTTGTTGTTATTATTTTTTTTTTTTATACACGTACATCGAACAATAAAAGTGTAATAAAATTTTATTTTATTTTTCCATCTATAATTATGGGATGGCATTGAACGGAGAGGAATTTAATGATTTTGTCATTTTACGTGGAAATTGACATTGGAAAACTGTACCACTTTTCTCATTAAGGGAAATAGAGGGGCCGGGGGGGACACATTGCCCATAATAGACCATACATTGTACGGATTTGCCAGGCTTTGTCTGGATAACTAATGCATGGATCACATTATTCACCCTTCTTTTCTTTTTTCTTTTCTTTTTTTTCTTTTTTTTTTCAGAGCTACAAATAGTTTAGGAGTTATGTGACGGGGGTTAAATTAGTATATATTTTTATATTTTTTTATGAAAAATATAAATGTAAATTAAAATTAGAGTGATATAATAGAGAAATAATATGAGTCAAATATAAAATAATATGACTTAAATAAAATAATGTATTAAAATAATATGTATTATTTTAGTAAATACCAAACAAATCTTTGGAGTTGAGGTAAATTTTATATAGTTTGAATTTGACTCATTTATATCAATTATGTTGGAAAATCTTATTTGGGAACCAGTTATTTTAATAATTTTTTAATTAAAATATTAAATAAAAATTTAATATATTGAGGTTGATTTTTTTATTTTTATAAAAAGATAGGAAAAATGTAAAAAAAAAAAAAAATCTTTAAATTTTTTGTATAAGTTATCAATATTTTAATAATTTTTTAACTTTTAAACTAAAATATTAACGTACCCATAAAAAAAAGTTCAACTCAATAATCACACTGACTTGACTTATGAAAATTATTCTACATGTGCATATATAGGCACTATTGGCAAGTGAGTTTTGGGATTTTTTTTAACTAAAATTTACACACACAGAAAAAAAAAGTTAAAATAATTATTACGATAAAATATCACATTAGACTGATAATTATTTTACTTTTTCTCTCACAAATATCATATCAAACTATAAAAAAAATCCAACATTCTTCTCAAACATAAAAATTTTAGTCTACTAAATAATCAAAAACAAAAATAATCTACTAAAATAGCCAATTTCCCAAACGAGATCATAATATATTTTTATATTATTTAATATATAAATAATAAAAAATTAAACTTATTCAAGTTTAAACTCAACTCAATTAATGGGGCAAAAAATCTGACTGTATCTGGTTTATATACATCTTGTACTCTATCACCAGTGAAGAGCTGGAAGGCCCAAAACGCTGAGGTAGAGAATAAGCAACACCACAAGTTTTTTTTCCTTTAAATTTTTTTTCTAATTTTTTTTTAACATCATGTGATGGAAGTTAGCTAAAAAATTGATTTATTGGCTAAAATAAGACTACAAAAGATTAATATTAAAAGTTAGTTTATTTGACACATTTATAATTGTTTTAGCTTTTTTACTGACTTTTTAGAATGACAAAAGTAGTTTTTCTTTGTGGGAAATGAGTGTCAAATAAGTTGAGGTATTTTTAGCAAAATAGTTGTACAAATAATTTTTTTAACCAATAAGTTAAGTATTTAGCCACAACCAAACAAAGACTACAAATTGTGCCCTATGAATTTGGCAATCTCTTATGTTACATGGATCTTGTATGTAAGTCGGATGTGAACTTGTGTTTTAAGTATTGGGTTCATTTAATTTTTATGTCTAAAGACAATGTTATAATTTAATTTTTTTTTACTTACTTTCATTCATTTACGATAAAATGATCTAATTTTGTATGCATAGAATGAGAGTCTAATGCATTGTTTCATAAGAAATTCTTTTACTCAAACTCATTTGTTGGCTGAATGTGTAACTTGACATATTTGGAACATATACATATCAAATTCCCTAACTCAACAAACTCAATTGAACATTTCACCAATTTAAAAAATTTCATGTTAGATTGGCAATCACGTAAGGTATTTAATAATTTCTTAAATAAATATGTTAAACTGATTATTAGTTGTATGACATTTTTATCCCTCAAAAGTAAAAAAAAAGAGTAAAGTTTGTATGCAGAATTATGGAGTGAAATTATTTCTATATCGGACACCGTATCTAGTAGACATGGTAAATGAAAAGGCGGGTCGGGTTCTGAAATTGGACTCAATCCAACAAGGCAACGCATGGAGAGGAATGGACATCCTCATCTTCAACTCCTGGCATTGGTGGACACACACAGGAAATTCTCAACCGTAAGATTCATGTCTTTTTCTTTTAATATCATATTACCCAATGTTTTCTAGTTTTTTTTATAACCTCTCAAATTCATTTACTAATTTTGGATTTATAATCTTATAAATTGGATTGTAGATGGGACTATATGCAAGAAGGGAACAAATTATACAAAGATATGAATCGTCTAATTGCTTACTATAAAGGGTTAACCACATGGGGTAGATGGATCAACCAAAACGTTGACACTTCAAAAACCAGAGTGTTTTTTCAGGGGATTTCTCCCACCCATTATGAGTAAGAATTCTCCTCTTCCAATCATTCTACTACTTTTGTTTTTTCTCCTTCACCTGAATTAGTGTAACTTTGTCATGCTTTTTAATTTTTCTAAAATATTTCAGAATATGATAACATTGTTATAAAACCTAACCTAAATTGCTTCAAATAACTGTCATAATTTTTTTACCACACTTCAAATATATATCCATATATACACGTGTATTAGTATATAACTACCAAGCACACATGAACTGGCAATTTATGGTTTTAATGCAATTTTATTTTATTTTTTAATATAAAATGCTTGAATCAGCATGCTTGGTTAGAGTTTTCCAAAAACTCTTTTCAGAAAATTTTACTCTCTTGTTTTTTGTATTTTTTTTTGTTTTTACTGAATTTTTTTTAATATTTTAAGTAATTTTTTTGACTTTTTAGACATACCTAACATAAATATATCTAAAAAATAAAAAATTTGTGAAAGAAACCTTTTAAAAATTCACTAAATACCAAAAATATAAAAAAAATACTAGAATTCCATACATATTTTGTATTTTTATGTATTTATTAATTTTTTAAAATATTTTTTCACAATTTTTTTACTTTTTAGATACATCTAAGTAAGGTGCATCTAAAAAAGTAAAAAAAATATTTAAAATTTTAAAAATATTCACTAAAAACAAAAAAATGCGAAAATCAAAAAACTCAATTTTCAAAAAATTTAATCCAAAAAACTCAAACCAAACACACTGACACTAAGAATCCTTTCTCTTTTTTATTTGTTAGGGATGTGACTTGTGTGGTTGATTGGATTCTCGTACATAGTTAAATGCTCGGTTGATATGAGTTTAGGATATTTGTAAATTCTCTCTAAGGAATAGACCTAATAGATAAGATACTTCTTTATAAGGCTTAATGTGATTGAATCATATAAGGCAGTATGCAACTTCGTCTTTAATTTGTTCTGTTTCTATGGATTAAATATATATATATATATATATCCTATTGATTGATAAAATAAATAATTACTTTCGAGAACAGAATTTTCCTTGACTCATGGCATCGAAAATTTGGCATCTCCACACCGAGTTATGTTTTTACTTGTGTTAATTTAGGATCCGATTTCAAAGACTATGGGAATACAAACTGATTGACTTAATTAATTTAGGGACTAATTTGTGTTGTGAAAGCAGAGGCAGGGATTGGAATAAACCATCAAAGTCATGCTATGGAGAGAAGAACCCATTTTTTGGTACAAGGTACCATGCAGGCACACCTATGGCTACAGTTATTGTCAACAATGTCTTGAGCCGGATTAAGAAACCCGTTTATTTGCTCGACATCACAACTCTCTCACAACAACGCAAGGATGCACACCCAACAGTCTATGGCGGCCGCCATAGTGGCACAGATTGCAGTCACTGGTGTCTTCCCGGGTTACCAGATACTTGGAACCAGCTTCTGTATGCAGCTCTGATTAATTGAATTGATATGTATTGCAATTATTTTAGCTCAATTGACTACAAATATCATTATTTCGATGGTAGTAATTTGTTCTAATTTCCATTTAACTGTGACTCAATAAAAAGGTTATGCTTCTATTGTAAAAGCAACCATTACTTGGATAAACAACCTCTGAAAAGTCATTGTAGGGGCATACTTCAGGCAACAAATTCATCAGTCTGCAAAAGCTAACCTATACAAAACTATTCACACCACAAACAATAGCCAAAAGAAAACGTAAGTAATTAAGATACCTCATTGCTAATAAACGTGTCATATTCGTATGTTGATTTTGAAAAATGCTTGAGAGTTACTTTATCATTGTTAAAAATTATTCCTAATGATATATTTGATAAGTTTCAAATTTTAATTTGTTAAACATTCTATTATGTGGGGTTTAACCTTAATGTCATATTATCAGAGATCACGCAGAGGTGATAAATTAGATGGATGTAATATTGTTATTTTATTTTTAATTTAAAAATTAAAAAATCTAACGCTAATCTAATTGAAGACTATCCACCCTCATGGTTTTTTATTTTTATATATATATATATATATATCTTCAAATGTTAGTTGTTAGTTGTTAGATTAGCATCTATAGAAAAAAATCTCCCCACTCTTGACAAAGCACCTAAGTGCTTGCATATTGAATCCATGACCTTTTTGAGACTAAATCCTAAGAAAGACATGATGACCAATTAAAATAGGCTTAGTTGGTTGAAGAGCTTTCATGCTGTAGTGGGGACTATGTTAAAGAGCTTCCACCCTCATGTTAAAGAGCTTTCATGCTGTAGTGGGGAGGGGACTCTGCAACGCATATAGGCCCCGTTTGTTTTGGGCTATAGGGAGGGTATTGGGACTAGTAATATCAAAGTATTACTAAAGCCCCTGTTTGTTTGCAGAGAAAGCCTTGGGACTATTAGTCCCTTGGTATTGCTAATACCCTTGGAAAGTTGAAAAAAAAACCTAAAAGTAAAAAAAAAAAAAAAAAAAATTTAAAAAGCAAAATATTCATTTTCATTCACTCTATTTTTTACATAATTTTTTGTGAAAAATTAAAAAATCATTTCAAATATATTAATTATTTAATCTCATATTTTAGTCAAAAAAATTTAAAAACCATGCTGCCAAACTATCACTAACTAATATATGAATATACGCTAGCTTCAGTAGATTTTTTTTTTTTTTTTTTTTCAAGATATTAGTTTGTTAGTAAAGTTAGAATACGATTAAAGGAATCGTTCTCTATCAATTCGAACTCTTGACTTTCTCCTCATTACATTTTAAGATGTGACTACAAGATCACTGGACCAAACTCAAAGTCTTTAAACCTAAGATGGCACAAATTATCTAATAGATAATAGTAGGGTTGGGCATAGGGTTATTCGACCCACCCAAACCGCCCTACACATTAGGGTAGGGTGCAGTTTGGATTTCATATAAATTTCGGGTTGCGGGCGGATTGCGGGTTTGAACCGCACTCGCCCAACCCGCCCGTATTAATAATAATAATAATTATTATTATTTTTTTGTCCCTCTTTCAAATCTGACCGTTCATCTCACCATCTCACCTCACACACCTCACCTATAACAAACAAAACAAAAAAACCCTAATGATTTATCTACCTCTCAAACTAAAAAACACAATTCTCTCCCCCCCACTCTCTCATCTCATCACTGTCTCTCTCACTCTCGTTGTTCATCTTCTGCACCGATCGTCTCACTGTGAGCCGATCTCTGAGCCTGTGATGGGGAAGGCGGTGGTGTGCGCGGCGGCGATATGCGTGGCTGCGGTGTGCGCTGAGGCGGTGCGCCACTGCATGAAGTGCTCGGGACGGTGGTTGCAGGCGGTGGTGATAATGAAGGAGTTCGAGGAGAAGTGTGGAACCCCTCTTTTGAAGCTGAGGCATATCGCCGATGCCATGACTGTGGACATGCACGCAGGTCTTGCATCCGAAGGTGGAAGCAAGCTTAAGATGATAATCAGCTATGTCGACAATCTCCCCACCGGGTATGGATTCATGTTTATATAAATCTATTTATATATTCAAATCAATTGGAGGAATCGGAGGAATTGGATCTATCTTCCCACAAATTGGGCAATTCATGTGTGTTTAGTGATTCTTAATGGTTGATTTATTGATCTTGATATCAAAGCTTGAATCTTGAATCAACACCGTGAATTTAGGATTGACTTTTAATGTTTGTGTTAGTTATTAATCAGATTTATGATTTGACTGTTTGTGGATAACGGCTAATTTCTCTTTATTGATTAAAAATTGAATCTTTATTTGTTTATTTATTAAAGATTCAAATTTATAAATTCGTTTGTTAGAATTATCGTATTTTATTTGAATTATAGTTTTTTATATGTATCAACTTCGGTGAATTCTAAGGTTATATGTTTTGAAGTGTTTTTTTTATTTTTATTTTGAATGATTTGTTTAGGTTACAAATTGAATTTGTTGTGTTTTTTTTTATAGAAGTTTTAATTCATTAATTATTAATGTTGGAGCATTTTAGAAAATATGAGGAAAAAGGTCCAAAATAAAGATTGACAAAATGGGAGAAAAAAAAAGATTAATCTGCAAACCGCCCGCAACCGTCTACACATCCGCGAATCTTATCCGTACAAATCTCAAACCGCATTGCGGGCGGTTGCGGTTTGACTTTTCCCCAAACCGCATAGACGCGGGCGGGTCCAAACCGAACCGCAAACTGTTCCAAACTGAACCGCGGACACCCCTAGATAATAGTTTACATCTTTATGTGATTTGCCCAAACAATTTTATTAATCTATGTAATTATTTTCTTTTATGTTTTAGATTAGCCGATTACGTATTTCTTTGTTATAGAAAAATATTACATCTAATCTCAATTTTTATCTTTTTTTTTAATATTTTTTTATACCTAAACATGAATGAGTACATCTAAGTAAATTTATTGATATGGGTTCCTTTACTATATTTAGATGTAAAAATTAAATTTAAATATAAAATTATGTATAATATCAGTCTTTATCACAAAACAAACTGCAGTATTTTTTTGATTAAAAATCAAACTGCAGTATGGGTGATTGTTCAGTAATCCAAAAAAATAATCGGGTGATGATTTATAAGGAACATAAAAAATATAATAAATTGTGATTAATGAGAGAGTATATGGTAACAAGATATTTCGGGACTATTGTATAATGAAGTCACCGAGTTAACACACACACCAACACCACCTAGTCACACGATAGATCCACACACTCGCGCGCATTTAAAAGACTAGCGGTTGCCACACGTGATGCGTATGTTATTCAAATAAATAAAAATAAAATAAAATACTATATATTGTGTGTTGGTCAAGTGGTAAGGGTCTTATTCATTTGATATAAGTATAAAGTTCAAGTCCCCTCCACCCATTTATCTAATTTTCTTTTAATTTTAAATAAAAAAAAATGGACACATGGCAGCAAAAAAAATGGACACGTGGCAGTATAAGAAGCAAAGGTTTCAAGACACCATAAGAGGTGTTCACTTTATAATAGTACTAGCGGTTGCCACACACGATGCGTGTGCAATTCAAATAAATAAAAATAAAATAAAACATTTATTATATATTGTATGCTACTTAAGTGATAAAAGTTTTATTCATTTGACATAAATCTAAGGTTCAAATCCCCTTCTTTCATCTATTTGATTTTTTTTTTTATTTCAAATAAAAAAGTAGACACATGGTATAAGAAACAAATGTTTCAAGACACCATAAAGCGTGTTCACTTTATGATAGTATAGATAGATAGATAGATATATGAGTAGACACATGGTGGTATAAAAAATAAGGGTAATGCTAGAGACACCAAATTTTTTACCAAACAAATGACCAAATGAAAGTTTTATTCATTTGATATAAATCTAAGGTTCAAATCCCCTTCTTTCATCTATTTGATTTTTTTTTTTATTTCAAATAAAAAAGTAGACACATGGTATAAGAAACAAATGTTTCAAGACACCATAAAGGGTGTTCACTTTATAATAGTATAGATAGATAGATAGATATATGAGTAGACACATGGTGGTATAAAAAATAAAGATTCCAAGACACTATAAGGGGTGTTCACTTTATAATAGTATAGATAGATAGATATATGATTACACGTGTCTTGAAGACCAAGCAGCAAAGCAGCTGAGTCACCCACAACCCAACACGTGGCCAAAAACCACCCGCCACATGTCCACTACCCAAATCACGGTTCATCACCTCGCTCATCCAACCGCCACAGGCCTCCGCTTTTTATTCAACCCTTTTTCACTACTCTCTCTTCTCATATTCTACAAACACACCATATACACTTCAAAGACTAACCATCATTGAGAAATCTAGAGATTCTGTGAAATTTAGGGGGGACAACCCTGAAATATACATATACATAGAGAAAAACAGGGTGCCCAAGATGACTAGCCACTATGACTCTCTTGCCACCATTTCTGGTGAAGAGAGGGTTGGTGTAAATGTTGGCAAAAAGGGAAAGAAAGAGAGAGAGAAAGAGTCTCATGCTGATAAAGCAAGGAGGGCAAACAGGGTTGCTGAAAAAGAGGCTGAAGCTGAGAGCAAAAAAGAGAAAGAGGAAGATCAGAGAGGGGGGCTTTCATTGGAAGAGATTTCCAAGTACAGACAAAGTGCACAACAGAATTCTATGGATGCCATTAGGGCTGCTGAAGAGAGGTACGCGAAGAAAGCCAAGGAGTTGGGATCTTCGGCCTTGCAAAATGTCAAGGAAAGTGCACAGCAGGCCAAAGATTATACGGCACAGACAGCGCATCAGGCTAATGATTACGCTTCGCAGAAGCCGGTGGGGGCTAAGGAAGCAGGTGCTTCTGTAGCGGAGAGGGAACCGGCCAAAGATGTGGTGGTGGAAACCGGCAAGAGTACTGTAGGGTATGGAGGGAAGGTAAGTCACACTGCTCAGTTTTGCTGATTTAAGTACTACTATACTAGTTATTATAGAAAAATGGTACACAACATTTCTCTCTCATTTTCTTATTAGTCACTAGGCACAAACTAGAGAGTTTCATGTTTAGTTATCCTAATGTATTGTTTAGATTTACTTTTTCTTATTAGTTGCACAGACCCTATTGATAGTCTTCTGTTCGGCGGCAACAAGATTTGAATTTGGTCATATTATGGTATTTGAAACTTAACAATTTTATGGGTTTCGAATTTGGGTATAAAGTGATGTGTTAGAGCATCTCCAATCCTGAATCAAAATTTTCATCAAATCTAAGTAAAAAAATGACTTTTTTCTCAATCTGATACCCAAGTGCTCCAACAGTTGATTTTCATCAAATTTTCATCAAATCTGTGCCGGGATAACCGGTTGGTCGACCGGTTAAGCCAATTTTTTTTTTTTTTGAACCTTTTAGTGGCGTTGGTCAATTTTTTTTTTTTTGAACCTTTTAGTGGCGTTGGTCGACCGGTAAGGGAATTTTTTTTTTTTTCAACTGTTTGACTTTTTTTTGAACTGTTTGAACCTTTTGGTGGTCGACCCGTTGGTCTCCCCCAACGGTCATGCACAGTGTTTTGATGAAATGCGAAGCCTGTCCTCATTTTGGTGAAACGTTTGGTGAAATCTCGATTTGATATCAATTTGGTGAAACCGTTAGAGCATGAAAAGTGCTTTTTTCACCGAATTTTAAATTTGATGCCAGATTTAGTTCAGGGTTGGAGATGGTATTATATTATCATATCATTAATCAAATTATGTGATTCTCCGCAAAAAAATTATATGGACTCATTCATCAGAATAATGTGTGTTAACAAGAATTCTTATAGGTTTTGTGTTTGATAGTGATAGCTCCAACTATGCAAATTATTTTTTCAATGACACTGCTAGTAATGTTATGATCACATGATAATTTCAGTTGCATTTCACTTTCATGTGTTATATTCCCACATCTTATAGTGATCAATAGGATACACAATTGTAAAATTTCATCACTATATCCAATTTATTTCCATCAAAACCAACCTTCTATGAGCATAGCATCATTTGAAATCATACAGGGAGAAGAAACTGGAGAGCAAGAATGTGGCAGTGGAGAAGTGGTGGAGAAGCCTACTGAAACTGTCCAAGAAGAGTTTTATCGGGCAGCGCCAGAAGAACATGAAAGAAGGGAACATCAGGGAGGTGGTGGGATATTTGCAGCCATTGTGGAGACCATAGTTGAGATTGCACAGAATACTAAAGACCTCGTCGTCGGGCAAGACGACCAAACTAGAGGATACAAAGGTGGCTCCATTGAGTACACAGAGCCAGAGGAGGTGGAAGAAAGGCGGGTCCCGTGAAGGCGGTGAAAGGGCGGTGATGGACGGAGGAGCTGTGTTAGAAATTACCTTCACCTACTACATCACCTACCACACACTCACCTACTACACTCACCTACCACCACCATCCACTACACCTACATCTATATAAACCACCATTTGTAATTTGTAATATACACAAGAATCAATACATCAATCAATAATAAGATCATCAGATACATTTATTCTCTCTGTATTTTTCTCTTTATACATTGATTTTTAACAAGCTGTAAGAGTCCCGTACATATACATAGATAAGATTCCGGATTTGGGGATAGTTTAGGTGCAGATTTTGAAGTATTGTGCTTTGCTTGTGTTTGGAGTACTGAATATTAGTAGGTAATGCAAGGGATTCAAGAAAAATATTTTCAGAAAATAAACAATGTGTGGGTCTGTCTATATTTGGATTATGGAATTTCCCTTGTTTTAAGCATAGAGATCTATACAGGTGTTGAATTCAATCACTGCTTTTTTTGGCTAAATTTTCTGTCTGGATAGTTTTATTACTTGAAGTTCTACACTTTTTAAAGGGATTTGAAGCCATTCCTACCAAAAGACGAGTGTGTATAGGTGTGTGTGTAACAGAGAAACAGAGCAGTCTCCATCACAGATTTAACTATTATCTCCTGTTCTAATTTGTTTTTCCATTATAGAAAATTTAATTTATTAAATAGACTTGTAATTATTATATTTTTATTTAAATTTAAAAGTAATGTTACATTTCATCAATGTTGAATTTTTAAAACTAACTCTTAATTGACATGACAAGCATTTATTGGACAATTTTAAGTGATGTAACTTATAACACATTACAATGCATCACTTTTTGTTTGGGAGTTCAAAATTAGTGATTCAAAGTAATTTTTTTTTAAATTAAATATAATTTAATAATTTAAAATAGAAAGTTGATAAATATTTTAAGATGGATTGGTGGTTCAAAGTAATTTTTTTTTAAATTAAATAAAATTTGATATTTTAAAATAGAAAGTAGATAAATATTTTAAGACAGATTAAAATGAAAAGGTGAATAAACAAAATGGAATGGAAGGTGTAGATTACAAATTACAATGTTCTGTTCTGGTGTAGTATTTTTATTTGGAGGGGTAAATAATTATTAAATGGCAAATTGGCCATTTACAAGAAAAAATTGATGACATAATCAATGTATATTAGGTCAACTAACGATTGATATGTTACACAAAATTTTAAAATAAATGAGCTCACATGTTATTCAAATTTTTTAAATAAAGTTGACCAGTGTAATTTCAAAATTAAGCAAGGCATGTTAGTGTAAGTTGCACATAAATAAACTAAATATTTTGGGACACTATTATTATTATTATTATTTTGTTAACACATTATTAAAGTGCTAATATGGCCTTCAAATGAAATGTTCTTTCTTATTCACCCAAAAAAATGTTCTTTGCTATTAACCATGTGGGAGTCACATCGTATCCAGTTGTCACTGTAGTGCACATGTGGTTCAATTTTATATCAAAACTGTTTGGTGTCTCGAATTGAACTGTCTTCGAATAATTTGAATTTGTGTTTATTAATTGACCTTCTGGATGATTGATTGAACGTTTATTCGGACAACTAGGTGAAACATTTATCTATCATAATTGTTACTTTATCGACCGTGACTATCAGCCTTTTCATTAGACGATCAGTTGAACGACCGATCGAATGACCAGCCAAACGACCACTAAGATAAAATTCAAGTAATTTGAAACAAAGCTAAATTCAAGTTACACAGCATTGCTCATTTTATATATGGCTAACTTGGGGACACAACATTTTCCACGTCACATGAATAAATGAAAAATCCTCATTTGTAACACTGATAATTTGATAAATATTATATTTTCATATTATGTTTTAGGACAAGCTTCACTTTATCCCCCTGTGGTTTGGGCCGAGTGTGATTTATCCCCTGACATTTGAATATCACCACATAACCCCCATGTGGTTGATGGACTAAAGTGCACCGTTACCTTTTTTGTCTAACATGACGAAACGTGAGAACCACTTGCCTATGTAGAGAGTAGGTTTATTTTGAAGATGAAAATACTCCTCACACAACTTCAAATTTACAAAAAATGTCATTCTTTTTTCTTTCTCTACTATACCTCTATCTACTCCATTTCTACATATCCATCAACACCTCCAATACTTGCTGAAAAATATCACAATATCATTCTTTTGTCTGCTATGGAAATCTGATTTGGAAAATCGGAGTGTTTGGGGAGTGTCTAAATTTTGAAAGCTTGTAATTTGGGAAAATCGGAGTGTTTGGAAAGAAAATGGTGACAATGAAAAAAAAAAGAAAATCAGAGCTAGTCTTTTCTTGCTTTTCCTGCCGATTCTATGTAAATGAAATAAATAAGTAATTGGATCACATGAAAGATTCATTATCAAGGATACGTTTGATATGTGCGGTGGTAGGAGAAATTATTACTGACTGGGATCCCTATTTAACAGACCAATTTGAATGACCCATTTCTAACTGTAAATCAAAATTATCATTCACTTGGAGAATGAATTGAAATTAGCTCGAAATTCCAATGGTGCTTACTGAATGATGCCTAAAGTGAGACTATTCTCATTTGAAGTATTTATTTTCAGAGCTGCTGCAGAGCTCTAATGAGTTGTCCAGCAAAAAAAAAAAAATGAGCTATCAACCAAAAAAAAAAAAAAAAAAAAACAGTGAAATAAAAGACAAAAAAGTAAAAGAAAAAGACAAATTAAAACTCCATTAGAGGTCTTTTTTTAAAGGTCTAAATCATTTTTCATTTATTTTTGGTCCAGGTTTTTTATCGGCATCAGTGCTGCATCATTTGCTTCATATTCAGAGGCACAAAATTCTGGTCAGAAACCATCATGGTCAATAAAGAACTCCAATCCCATTTTAATTAATTTATTTATTGATCGAAGAGAACTGAAATTCCTTTCATACATACACAAATATATATATATATATATTTGTATACACATAAAAATCCAAACCTATTTTAATTTTAATTTTTTTTTGATTGAAAAGAACTGAAATTCCTCTCATACATATACATATATATATTTGTATAATCTGCAGCTATCGGCGCAGCATGTGGAGGCGTCGAGGATGACTTTGCATCAATTTGAAAACACGTCGTCGTCTTCGTTGTGGTATGAACTGAACTATATTGAAGCCAAAGGGAGGATGAAGAAAGGGTATAGAATTTGACAAATTGCGTTTGGAAGTGGGTTTAAGTTGAAGATGAGATTGTATAAAGTTTGAAATGGAGAGAGAGAAAAGAAGAAGATGAAGATGGAGAGAGAGAATTGGGTTTGGCGAGAGAGAAGAACAAAATGAAAATAAAGGTATAATTGTCAATTTATAATTTCTGTTAACAAAAGTTAGTGTGCGCTTTAATCCATCAACCATGTGGGGGTTCTGTAATGATATTCGAAAGTCAAGAAGTAATCCACACATTGTCTAAAGGTAAAGTGAAATTTGTCCTATATTTTATTTATTACATAATGTGATACTACTGCATTAATAACAAAAGATAATATAATTAATTTATAAAATCAATACATAATACATAAAATAACAAATAATTTTTGGTATCACATAAATGTCATTACCATAATTGTCGCACATTATTGAGGTATAGATATAACATTCAGAAATTTAATTATTTGCTAAATGTGTGATGCACCGTATTTTGATGAGAATAAAAAATAAAATATAAAAAGTCTAATTGTGTTTTTTTTTTGATTGGCATCGTTTCCAGATCAAAATTCGATCAATTTCCATGAGTACACAGACTTTTGGTAAGGAGTTTTTTTGTAAATGTACTACGATTAATTTCAGATTTTTTTTTTCTAGTATGATGGTTTCAAAAAAATTATAAAGACTTAAAAAGTTCTAATTTCTGAACCTTAACGCTGTGTTTGGTTGGGAGATTTGAGGAGGGATTTGGAAAGAGAAATGGAAAAGTTAGGTGAAATGTGAATAAAATATACTTACATTTCTCCTAGTTTCACACACCTTTTCCATTTTTCTTTCTAATTTCCTCTCCAAATCCCCCAACCAAACACAGCATAAAGGAAACACATTCCAAAAAATCTAAGAACTTACCACCAAACCAATCCTTTGGGTTGAAAAGTCTAATAGCTTTATTATCTACTGACGAAGATGTTGGGCTATATTTTGATTACCTCTATTAACTACACATATAAAATGACTGTAATGACCTCAAAGCATTTTATATATATATATATATATATTTATTTCCCTCTCGTCTTCTTTCTATGCATAATTTATAATTTTTAACATTAATTTAATTAAATCATAATTATTCTACACATAATTTAATTTTTTTTTACATTAATTTAATTAAATCATAATTAGTCTACATTAACATTAATTCAATTAAATCATAATTAATCATAAATTATTTATTATTTATTATAATTCTTAACTTTTTAACTTAATTATATTTTAGATTACAATTAATCTTAAATCTTTAATGATTTATTATAATTCCTAATTATATTTTAATTAACATCTTAACGATATCTTAAACTTGAAGAATACGTACTTACCCAAAAAAAAAAACTTGAAGAATACGAGATAAAATTATCTTTTGTTTTTTTAATTTCACTTTAACGTTTTTACAAAGTCAAGCTCATTTAAAAAAGGATGATTACTCAGTATTTTCAAAATATGAACGCATAATATTTCATAAGATTTTGATTGGTAGAAAAGAATAGGAAATCACGATTTATGCTGGGAATGAGAGAACAATATTGGACTAAGTAATTAGTGATTGACTTGAAATATGATCACATAATATTCTGAAATTATTCAATAATTTTCTTTTAAAAAATAGTGTGATATACTTTTCCCTAAAACGCTAGTCTCAAATCACTGGAAAATGGTTTTTGCCCAAATTATATATATACACACTATTTTATTAAATGAAGATTCACCGCCACTTATGTTTTTTATTTAAAATAAAAAAAAGAAATTATTTAAGATGATTTAAATAAATTTATATTTTAACTTTTAATAAAAAGATGTAAAAAAAAAAATGATATGACTCAAATAAAATAAAAAATAATAATCTACAATAGAACAACCCCTAACAACATTTTCGCTGATAAAAAAAAAAAAAAAACCCCCACCTCCTTCATAAGTTCTCAAAACACCAGCAGATCCTAAACCATAGTCATTATTGTTCAATTATAATCAAAAGTAAACTGTAATCTTTTCTACCAACTCTTTAAAACCTCATTGTGAAAACAATGGCTGGTAATGTGGCCAACATTGCAACCACCCATTTTTATGAAAGGTTTTATACAATAATAAAATTATCTAAATTATTAATTGAAATAAAATTTTAACATTATTAAAAATTGTTAATTAATTTAATAATTTATTAATAAAATGATTTATTTGTTATGAAATTAAAAACCTTAAGAGGCATAATGTAATTTCTAGAATCACAAAGAGCAATTTGTAATTTAAATAAATATAAGGAGATGTGCTTTTAATTTACCCTATATAATAAATATTTTATTTTATTTTACTTAATTATATTGAATTTGCATAATGTGTCAATAACTTATATGGTAAATTACAAATACACCTCTTGATATTTGATTAAAATACGAATCGTTCTATGTGATTTTAAAAATTAACATTTCACCCGGAGATTTTTAATTTCATAACAAATTACTCATTTTATTAATAAATCATCAAGTCAATTAACAGTTTTTAATAATGTTAAAAATATATTTCAATTAATAATTTAGATAATTTTATTATTGTATAGGAGATAAATTATAAATTTTATTTTTTTAATTAATTCTGTTAAATAAAAAATTCTAATAAAAAGATATTTATAATTTTTCAAATACAAAGACAATCTGTATTTTAAGCAAAATTCAGATATTTGTAATTTACCCAAACTCATATGGTGGGTAAGAGTCAAGAAGCCCTTCTTCTCCTGTTCACCCCCACCAACTCTCCTACTGAAATCAAAGAAAGCTAAAACCAAATTGATAATCCATTTATGTTATTCCTTTGTTTACAATTAATGAATTAATTGAAATTCAAACTATAATGATAATAACTGAGCTATCAGGGGAAAGAAAAAATATATAAAAGAGAGAAAAAAAGATTTGTAGGAATTGTGAACACGACGAGAAACATACAAAAATCAGAAATTTAATATATAAAAAAAATAAAAACGAAAGAGAAATCTCCAACCACAAAAATCTTTAATTACATTAGAAATCTAACCAAGAATCAACACCACCAAAGTTCAAACAACACCTATTTTTCAATCCATCACACAAAGAAGAGACATAATTGTAAAGCGTAAAAATTTAAAAGTAAACACTAACAAGGTTGATTCTGATGCTTGTTCGGGCTGTGGGGATTTATTTTGATGCGGGTAAAGCTGATCAGGATATCCTACATAACCAAAAAGAAAAAAAAAAAAACACTAACAAGGGATCTGAGAGGTGAACCATTCCATGACGTGAATTGGGGCTTTGATGAGCTCCAAAGCAAGCTCCACTATGATCGTAACGCACAGACAACAAGGGCATATACAAGTCAACAGCAATCTGTATATATATATATATATATATGTATTAACAAATCAAATCAAATGAGATCAGATGACATCACATCACAACATATGAAATTAGAATAAAATATTTGAGAAAACAGAGTCTAGAGAACGAACCCGACGATCCAGATGGCGATGCCGACGATGGAGATGAGGAGGGAAAGGAAGGCGAAGGGTAGGCCTAATAGGAACCCTAGCGGCCTGCAATCACCGTCTCCGCAGCACATGATTCTCTCTCTCTCTCACTCTAAAAATGGACTCTTCTTCAGCGAACTAACACGCTCTCTCTCTCTCTCTCTCTCTCTGTGTGTGGAAGAGTGGATTATTTGTGTAAAATGTATTGAATATTGTGAATTTGGTGACGACCACTGGATATATGCAAAAGAGGGACACGTTTTGTTGCTTTCTCCAAAAGCGATAATGACTTTTGGTCTTAAGGATACCTTTCAAATCCCTACCACTATGGGTGTTTTGGGGGAGTTAATAAAAAATTAATTTTTTTGATTTTTTAAGTTTATTTTATTTTTTTGTGAATAAGTTATGTAAAATGTAATGTGATCTAAAATTAATAAAAAATTAAAAGTTGACTTTTTATCAACTTTTCAAATCATTGTTTGGGAAGTGGGTTTGCCTCGATTTTTGGCTAAAATAGTTATAAAATGTAAAATAAGTTTTTTAATTTTAATAAGATAAGATGTTATATTTAATTTATAATTATTATATTTTTTTTCTTATAAAAAAATTAAAAAAAGTCAAAAGTCTTTTTAATTTTTACCCTCAAATTAAAATAATAAAAAAAAATTAAAAAGTCAAAAACTCAATTTTCAAACCAAATCTATATAATAATGGTAAATTCCACCCTACACTATTACAGCATTTGTCATATTTATTGTCATTCAATGTTTAGTAAATAAATTACTTATAATAATTTATTTTAATTTAGAGATTTGTATTAGATTGTTTGATATATATTATGTTTATAATTTATTAGATATAAATAACTTGAAAGAAAATTTGGCCATAAATCTCTCATAACTTTATTTCATTGTTACTCTCATAATTTTATTATCTTGTTAAAAGGACAAAAATAAATAAATAAATAAATAAATAAATACTTTTAAAATCCCCTCATAATTATTAGGAGTGAGCATGGTCTGGATTGGACCGGTTTGAGGAAAAATCAAGACCAATCTATTATTTACGGTTCTTGAAAAATTGGAACCAATCCAATCCGTTTAAATCATAGAACCAATCCATTTAAACACGGATTGGATCGTTTAAGACTACAGATTCACATAATTAAATAACAAAAATATATATATATATATATATAAAACACTTTAATTTCATAAAAATATAACCATAGCGTTATATTAGTTCCACAATAGTAACATGTCTTTCTATAATAGTGACATACTGTTTTAGAATTTAAACAACTATAAGAAAATTGGTTTTATCATAAGTATTTAGACCATTACAAATTAAAACTAAAAACTAACAAACAAAAGTAATAAAAGAAGATATGATGCGGGTTGAGGTTTGAGTTTAGGTTTTATATGGAATAAGAGAAGATACTATGCGGGAGGATGTATAATAAAAATATAGACTATTTGTATACGGTCTGGATTGGTTCCAGTTCGGAACCGTGGGGTTCAATCCAGAATCAATCTGTGGACTACGGATTTTTAATTCTTCAATCCGGAACCGAATCATGGATTCAAAAAACCAATACAAACCTATTGAATTGGACTGGACTGGATCGGATTATGGATTTGACAGATTCCTTGCTCAGCGCTAATAATATAAAGTCTTGTATGAAGGACATATTTTATTATTTAAATATTTTCTAACCATTATATTCTCTCTCTTTCTCTTACCGTGCTCTCTCTCTCTCTCTCTATAGTAATGACAGTAAAATTTTACTAAAATTTTAATGCGAATCAGAGTAAAATTTTATTGTTTACATTAATTTTGATAGTATTTTTTTATTTTTTTAAAAATTTTTATAGTCAACCTAGATCTTTATGAGAAGATTTTAAAAGTACTAATTTTATTAAAAATTGATATCTAGAGCAAAAATTATATTATTTTAAAGTTTTAAATATTAAATTAGTCAATAAAGATATTTTGGTAATAGTGGTGTGTGCGAGATTTTTAAAGGAATTTTTTTGTATCTATTCTTAACCTCCGTTTGGGAAGTGGGTTGGCTTTTTGGCTTTTTTGACTATTTTAGCCTGGGCTTAAAACCTTGGTTTGGGAAGGGCTTTTTGGCTTTTTTGAGTGTTTTTGTGAGAGAAGAATATAATGATTATGGGTTGGATGTGATGTTTTATTTGTTATGGCTAAAATAGCCTATTTAATCTTAATGTATTAAAATTTTATTATGAATGGGTTGTGACCAAATTCTCCTAACTTAAATAAGCTGAAAAAGTTAATTACCTAAAAATTGGGAAAAGTGATTTTAGCTTATGTTTTCTTTTTTATTTTTTATTATAAGCTTTTAGCTTGCAATAAAGTATACCAAACATGCATATTGTATTGTTAATTATGACGTATTGTAATGTTTATGATTTATCGTGACATGTATAGCAACATGACCATTAACCATCTGATTTGTACAATTTTAGTATAACTTTACAATTTTTTAAAATTTTGTTTGAATATGCATAAGAATTTAGCCTATGTCATTAAAGATCTCTTAATGAAATCACTGATTTTTATCCATATCATCAGAATATTTAATTAAATGACCACGTTACTTTTTTGTTAAAAAAATATCATTATTTTCTTATATTTATTTAAATATAAAAAAATTATCCTTCACCTTTTTACCTTAACCACATTTGAGAAAGAATATTCTCAAAAAAAAATATTCTCAAAAAAAAAAAAAAAAACATTTGAGAAAGAAGGGAGAGAAGTTAGACGAATCGAGTGGGAACACCAAATGGGGAAGAGAGACGGGTGAGTCAAACATGACAAATGTGTATGAAATTGCTGGGCTCTAAACGTGTAGCTACTACGAGGACAAAAACCCATGTGAAAGCTTTGCTATGTGTGGTATGGGTTTTCCATTTGTTTTTCCTTGTGAAGGTTTCTTATTTTGCTCTGGTTTTTGCTCGGTTCTAATTTGTTGAGGTTTTTTTGTTTTTTTTTTTTTTTTTGTTCGTGGTAAAGAAGAAGAGAGGTGGGTACGCAATGGTGAAAGAGGGAAAAGAAGAGAGGGAGACGGTGGGATTGTACATGTGCAAAAATGTTTTGGAGTTTTAATTTGTGAGCTCTAATAGTTCTAATGTGTACGTGGAGCCACTCTGATGTGATGTTTTGGTGTTTTTTTTTTTTTTTTTTTTTGTGACTTTCCAACTCACTAAAGTTCTAATTTTACAGGGATGTATCATTGTTACTACATGTGCTTGGTTGGATAATGGATGATGTAGACGCTGATGCGATTGGTCGGTATTGGTCAGCAGTGCGATAGTTGTACAATGGTGGATGGGGGAAATAACTTCGTGCAATGGTGGAGGGGAAGAGAAGGCAGGGCTAAATGGTGGTAGATGAGACATGGTGGTGTGTGGTGATTAGGGTTACAAATGAATCGAACTGTTCATTAACAAATTCGATTCGACTCGTTAAAGGTTCGGCTCGTTTAGTATATGAGCTAAAGTCTAACTTGTATAATCTTGGCTTGTCAAACTCAGCTCATTTATCATTATTTAAATTACATAATAAATATATTATTTATATATTAAATAATTTATTAAATTATATATTAGATAATATTTTTTATTTAAATATATAAATAATATGAAATTTTTTTTTATAGAGCCAAACTCGAGTTTCATTAATATTAATGAACTAAACCGAGCTTGAGCCCAGTTCCTTATCGAGCTGAGTTTGAGCTCAATAAAAGCTCGACAAGTAAGCGAGCAAAGCTCAGCTCAATTCGGCTCGTTTGCAACCCTAGCAGTGATGGTGCACAGTAATGGAAGTATTTGAACGGGCAAGAAAGAGTGAAGAGAGAAGGATGACAAAAATAAAAATATAAGGGTAAAGCTATAATTTGTTACAAATATAGAAAGGTAGAGAGACTTGTCACAATTGTTTGATTGAAAATCCTTTTGTTACTATTGGGAAAGGTGGCGTCACTAGAGAGTGAATCTTTGAACATAATTCCAAGTTTAAGTTGTGAAAGAAAGAGAGGAACTATTAACTAAAGCTACTAACACTTTCAAAATATACTCACATCTTACATACTACAACGAAGTATAGAGAATATTTACATGCAACACCAAAGACTATGCCCCAACTAGGACACAAAAGCATTAATCACTGAAAAGAATAGCAGTTGTTAGCAATGTACAAGTGCTATTATGCATACCCAACTAACTAAACTGTCTGTTCCTACCTAGTCACCACCATCTGGGCATTATTATTATACAAATCTGTGAACACAAACACAGCCCCCTCTAGAAGACTGGTATGCTCATACAACGGCTAAGAACTGAACCCCACTCCAAAGCGAAAAGACCTTGGGGAGGTGTTAAAATTGTTACCCCACTACTATACAACCAACATAGGAAGATACAGAAGCACAATCCCAAAACTCTTCAGACCAACCAACAAGAATTATCATCACCCTCATTAAAATCTGCAAGATCTGCCAATCAAGAACAAGAAAAATGTCTATTAGTGTCGCTCTAGTGAATTAGCAAACTCGGCAAAAGTCAAACGGCAATCTTGAAGTAAAGAACCAAACAAAATTGTAGTTCATTATATGTTTGTTTTATTCATTATATAAATGGAGGTGGAGAGCAAGAGTTGTTTATACCAGAGACTCTCCAATATAAGCTACATTAGTTACCTCTTAAACTTCACTAAAATCTCATCAATCTGGATCGCAACAACACCTTAATTCTTATTGCATTTTTCATATATTTTCAATTGTAGGAGTAAGTAGTGGTGTCATTTATTTTATAATGTTAAGTAAACCCAGTTCACAGTCAAACCATTCTATTTAGAAAAATCAATCCATATAACATCAAAACAAACATGTCTCAGAGGTTACAAGTTGCAACAAAAGATGAGTAAAAAAACACAGGAGAAAATGGAAAGAACCTACAATAGGGTATGTTGCAGAGTCTCCACCGTCGAACTCCTGTATTTGTAAATACCAATTTTCATTTCTTAAAAACAAATAGTTTCACTTTTTCTCCATTCTTCTTTTTCTTTTTTGGGCCCTCCTAATAGAACTACATGTACGGTGACATATATAACTTCGGCATGGAAAAATCTTGAAATTTTCAAACCCAGTAGTGTTTGAAGCAAGCTATGTTACACGGACGCGGGTATGGGTATCGGGTGCGGGTGCATATCTAGGGGGCGGACATTTCAAAATTAAAAATTAAAAATACGTGGATATGTATCCAAATTTGAATATGGGTACGGAGATACGTTAAATATATATATATATATATATATATTTTTAAATATAGTTATTAAGATGAGTTATATTATATAAATAACAAATAATTATTTTACATATATGTGTTTATTTATTTTTATTAATATATATAAGTATATATTATCTTATAAATATATTATATGTTATACAATAATTATTATATAATATATAATAATAATTGTTATTATTATAGTTATTATAATAATAGTTATTAACTATTATTATTTTATATAGATATATACGAATGGATATAGATGTGAATCAAGAGACAGGGATGTCAATCAGTAAAGTCAAGGATGAAACGAGAGAGAGAGAGAGAGAGAGAGAGGGAGAGAAGCGAAGCGAAGCGAAGCGATCGATTGATCGCGATTGCGATCGCGAGGGAGAGAGAGAGAGTCGTCTGGGGGTGTTCGACTGTTCAATCGACTGATGGAGCTTCGATCTTCGACTGGATCGACCGGATGGAGCTTCGATTGGAGGTCGTCGATCTTCGACTTCCACTGGATCAATTTCAACTAGGTTCTCTCTTGCTCTCTTCTCTTTCATTTCTTTTGCTGTCTGTAAAGAGCCGTGTTCGAGAGAGAACAGCCGAATCCGACACAGATCCCACACCCACACCCGTGTCGTGTCGACACGGGTACTTCGCCCCAAAGTGCCGAGTCCATGTAACACAGCAAGCAAGTTATACAGTCACATCTATAAATACAAAAAAAAAAAAAAAAAAAAAAAACAAAAAAAAAAAAAAAACCAAAAATAGAGACACAAAATAGGAACCCATAAATAGACAAAGAAAACAGACTATACTCAACCTTTTAATTTAAATCGGTAAAATGCACCAACCTCCCCTGGGGTTTCGGAATTAGGCAAGTACACCCGCTAGTTTAAAAATACGCAAGAAGCTCCCCTACCCAGTGGGATGCAGCTAAAGGAGGGTAAGTTCTTCATATTACAAAAGAAAATAAAGAATAAAAAATAAAAGGTATCTAGTTGAGCAGAAGTGACTTTTCTCTGCTTATCTAATGGCACCTTCTTTCAAGTTCTAACTGACCCCTTTCTCTCCCCACCCCTGACCCAATCCAACCTTCAAAACCACAAGTTCAATAGCCTTTAAATCTTTATCATAGCATCCATCTTAATACCCAATCCCTTCCCTAAAAGCAACATCTTTCTTCCACCACAACCCATGTTACCCGGACTAGGGTACAGGCGTCAAACTTGGGTACATGTCCAGAAGTCAGATTTGCATATTGTTCTAATTGTAGGATATGGGGACTCGGCTAAAAAGTCTCCCGCATAAAACATTGGACAACAGTACTGTCCATTACAAACATATCCAATATTGATCTAAACTATAAAACAAAATTTTCTTCAATTTCTCTTAATTGAAAAGTATCTTAATTAATGTTAATTCCTATTTAATAAAGTAATCTCTTAATTGAGGCCCTGTTTGGGGCAAGGCTTTTTGACTAAAATAGCCAAAAATCCAAAACACCCAATTACATCACTCTTTTTGCTACATGTTTTTTCATTAAAAAAAAAAAAAAAATCAAAAAGTCAACTAAAATAACTAATTCCCAAACAAGCCACACAATAATTGAGCTTTGCTCTAGTGTGGCAGCCACCCAATAATTTTATTACATATTTCAAATGTTTAATTTAATTACAATAACACGCTAAAAGTGGGCAACATTATGTACATACCACATTAGATTAAAACCTTGATTTATGACTTTAAAAAGTTTGGCACATGCAAAGTGAGTTTTCTTAAGATATTGAAATGTCTAGAGGGAGAGAAAAGAGAGCATTTAGAGCTATGAAGCACCGGCACCCACGTGTGTCAATGCAACATATCAGCATCCGACATGTCTCAAACACATGTCCAACACGCAATAGACACATGTTCGACATGCAGTTTGGTGTGTCCCCTTTTTTTTCATTTCGGATGCATCCTTGACATGTTTGAGACTGTTCGATTTCTCTTAATTAAAAAGTATCTTAGTTAATGTTAATTCCTATTTAACAAAGTAATCTTTTGATTGCTCTGCATATGACATGTTTTATAAGGGATACTATAAAACTTGAATTCTATATTGATACTTAAATTAGAGACCTTCCATATTCTATATCTAACTTTCAAACTTCATATTTAATTATAAGAATTGAGTTTTGCTCTAGTGGGGCAGCCACCCAATAATTTTTTACATATTACAAAGGTTAAATTTAATTATGACAAATGACACATAATAACACGCTAAAAATGGGCAACATTATGTACATGCCACACTAGATTAAAACCTTGATTTATGGCTTTAAAAAGTCTGGCACGTGCAAAGTGAGCTTTCTTAGGATATTGAAACATCTAGAGGGAGAGCCGATGGCGCACAAGTTTCTATCAAATTAACTCTGAGAGAGAGAGAGAGAGAGAGAGAGAGAAAGGGGGGGGGGGGAGATTCAACTGCCAACAAGTTTCTATCAAATTAATTGTGAGAGAGAGATAGAAAGATAGCGTTTAGAACTATATAAAGCACCGACATGTTTCCCAAGGCTACATATCAGCATCTGACATGCAACGGACAAGTGTATGACACGTAGTCTGGCATGTCCTCTTTTTTTTCCTTTTTCATTTCAAATGACTGTTCGATTTCTCTTAATTAAAAAGCATCTTAATTAATATTAATTCTTATTTAATAAAGTAATCTTTTGATTGCTCGGCATATGACACGATTTATAAGGGATACTATAAAACTTGAATTCTGCATTGACATTTAAATTAGAGACCTTCCATATTCTATATCTAACTTTCAAACGTCATATTTAATTATAATAATTGAGTTTTGCTCTAGTGTGGCAGCCACTCAATAATTTTATTAAATATTACAAAGGTTAAATTTAATTACAATAAATGACACATCATAACAAGCTAAAAGTGGGAACATTATGTTCATGCCACACTAGATTAAAACCTTGATTTATGGCTTTAAAATGTCTGGCACGTGCAAACTGAGTTTTCTTGGGATATTGAAATGTCTAGAGGGAGAGTTGACGGCACACAAGTTTCTACAAAATTGAGAGAGAGAGAGAGAGAGAGAGAGAAGATAGCAATTAGAGCTATGAAGCACTGACACATCTCCCAAGGCTACATATCAGCGTCCTACACATCTCGGACGCTGACACATGTCAAACATGGACACGTGTTCGATATGCAGTCTGGCATGTCCTCTTTTTCTTTCTTTTTTTTTTTCATCCCGGAAGCATCCTGGACATGTCAGACTGTTCGATTTCTCTTAGTTAAAATGTATCATCATTAATGTTAATTCTTATTTAATAAAGGAATCTTTTGATTCCTCTATATATGGCATGATCTATAAGTATCATCATTGATAAAAGTATAATTGCAAAGTTGAAGTCTGAAAGGATATTTCCGGCAGGAGAAAGTTTTAGACAGAGACATGATGGGTGAGTGAGGAAGTCTGATAGGAGAAAGAGATGGCCACTGACTTTAGAGAGATTAGTCCGACAGTGGGTTTCTTGGCTGGAGAAACTGGAAAAGTGTACAAAATGAAGGAGTTTGTGATGAAATATGGTTATCTTTTTCAAGATTTAAGATGTATTTTTTTTCATTCAAAATAGCATCAAGTCATATAACAATGATAATGTAATCACATTACTCCCACTAACTCTGTTTACTAGATGACTCTGACCATGGAACCTAATGTAATTTCCCAAACCTCAGAGACATCTCTATTTAAAAAAAAAATATAAATATATATAGTTATAAATAATAAGTGTCATTCCTGTAATTGTCAAATAATGCAGAGATAGATCAATGTGATTTACACAAAGAAAAAATTAAACCTCTAGCCTATAGTAGATCATCGCATACAGAACTTACTAGTATGCATTCAGCTTAGAAACTAACACAATGCAAGCCAAGCTAAGAAGCACAGCTATGGCTGTGAAATGATATGGACACGCCGACATGGAAATTTTCAAAAAAATGTAGGACACAACATGTAAGGGACATGCCCAAAATATATTATTATGAATTTTCAAGTCGAATATAATAATTTGTAAAGTCCAATTGAAGAGAATAGGTTCAAATTTACATAGTTATTGTTTTATCATTAGATTACAAGTTATTTAATTCAAACTAGTAATGTGTTTCATGTAGGTCTAAGTGTTGGGAAGTGTCCAACATGACATGTTACCTTCTTAAATGTGTCAGTGCTGCTTAGAAGCCAAGAAAGGTAGTACAACATCTATATTCATCACATCAGACAATAGGTATGTCGTATTTGTAGCTAAGTAAAACCTCATTTGAGCTATCCCTTGACAATTTGTGTTCTTGTTAATCGATATGCTGGGACAGGAAGGAGCATCTCTCCAGTTTTGTGACATATAACATACCGAGGCCATGTTTGGTTCGTGGATAGAATGAGTTGTCTGGAGGGGGAGGGTATTTTTAGTCATTTTGCAACAAAATCCTTGTCCTAGTTAAGTTGTCTCACCACCACCCGGGATAAAAGGGTTCTTGGGATAAGTTATCCACGGGTCACAAAATGTGAACCAAAAGCAGGATAATTTTATCCCTGTATAAAATAATCCTATCCCAACCCCTCATCTGAAAATCAAATATGGTCTGACTGCCAACTTGACAACTGACAACCACAGAGCAGGGTATTTTGGACCAGAGTTTTCTATCATACTTCATGCACCCATTGCCCATCAACAATCATAGTCTCACGATATGCAAGGAAAAAACACAGGATCAACTATTCAATAAATCTTCTACTATATGTAACTACTGCTCATATCATACGTAAGTTGAACGTCATAAGTCTTCTACTTCACACTGACAGTTATCACACAGACAGCTATGTAATAAGAACAAAAGACAAGGAAAACAGCTCAAACTTGAAAAAATGACTAAAAACTAACAGAATCTTGGGGAAAAAGTTCTACAAAAATATTATCTTACCTGGACTGAATATACTCAAGTCCTAGGTGAATGGCCTGCATCAGATCCATACCCTGAGGAACTTTCACTATCAGAATCTGCAATAAATACAAGGTACTGAGAGAACAGAAGAGCCTCACTTCTAAGAATAGGAAATTGAACTCCTTGCCTACTAAACCAAAAATAGTACTAGATTGACAAAGTTAAAAAATCTGTCGCAATACCACTTGAAGAGGATCCAGAATCACTGCTGGCGCTGCTTGATCTGCTTGCATTATCCCCATGCTTTTCCACTTGAACAGGAGATGAAGAGGAGACATTCTTTTCATCTGCTTAGAAACAAACAAATTTGCATTTATCATTAAAAGGATTTTCCACCACAACAAATACCACGAATCATTCTTTTACCTGTTCTAGTTTCTTTTGGCGCCTCTACCACACCTGAAGGAGGATTCTGTGGAAACAGCAAAAAGACAAATGGATTAACCAACCAATGCTTCCAACAAAAAATGACGGAAGAAGGTAAGTATTTAATGACTTACCTTTACTTGGGCATTCGGCTCTGCTTCTGCTCTTGCTTGAATAACAAGTTCTGCTTTCTTCTTGTATTTGCTCAAACTCTTCTTGTAGTTGGTCACAAACCTATCAAGCTCCCAGAGAGTTTCTGTATCGAAACTATCAATGTCTACTTCAATCTCATCATCATTTTGACAAAGTGATGAACTCCTCTTCTTAATTATCTGGACAATATTGTCCAGTTTTTCAGAAGGTAAATTCTGCAAGTTTGTGCTAAGCTTCTGCTTTTCCTCATATGTCATGTCCCTCTTCTGAGGATCCTTGGCCTTAGGCTTCTTTGGGGCAGGGGTCCTAACTGCATGTGCGAAATTCATGGGCTTCTGTTTGGGATCAACAGAATTTGTCATTGATTCTGGCCTATCCAAAATCCTTCTCATTTCAGCAGGCGGTGGTAGAAGTGAAGTAGCCTTTCTTGACGTAGGGGTAGGCAACCTTGCTTCATAATCTACTGCAAACCTCAAGGCCTTCACATAGTCAGCCTCTATAACAGCCCATTTGTCCTCAAATATCTTCGATAGCTGCTCTGCCATTAAATGGACATCTTGCCCTTTCGGATTGTAGGTCAAAGCATTGCTAAAAGTAAGTCTCACATCCTCTGCAAATTCTCTTGGAGACTTGTACCAATTCTTATCCAGCCTAGATTTCACAGTGCCCAAGTCCATTGGATTCTTAATAATATCAAAATAGTCATGCAAACCAAAAGCATCTGGATCAACTGGTGTATTAAAAACCCAACCATGCTTGTGCTTCATCAATTTATCGAGCAAAGTGCTACAACTCTTGAAGACTTTATTTGAAAATTTGCTCAACTCAAACCCAGGTCCCAATTCACCACCTCCTTGCTGCTTCTTCCCATTTTGTTTCGACTTCTTGTTGCTCTCAGCTGGCGGGAACTTGTCCTTGGCAAGAAGAAACTCCGAATTCCGATACAACTGGTTTGCCTTCGGTGTCCTCTTCTCTTTCTCCGCATTATCACTTACACCCTGACTATTCTCCAACACTGATATACTTAGCTGATTCAAAGGCCTGGATTCACGAGGAAGAACGACTGATGCAACCTCCATATGAACCCGTTTCACCCTGCCATTATCCACACCAACATTCACTTGCCCCTCTTTTTCCTCAATCTTCTTCACCCAATTCCTTACCAAATCTAGCTCACTCTCCAGCTTCCCCCTCAGCTCCCGCATCTCCTGCTTTGACCTCCACGACAAATTAATCGCTTTCCGATTTTCCTGCCTCAGAAACCCCTGCTTCCCTGTCCCATTACCTGACGCTGGCTCCCGAGAACTCGAGAAGACAGCCAGAGTACGATTCCAGCTCGATGAATCGTCCGATGCCTCATCGAAGCGGGTGAGAAGCTGTTGCTGAGTCGAATTTCCATCTTCGGACGCTAGGGTTTGGGCTTGGGGTTGCGACACATTGTTATTCTTGTTGCTCTTCGGACCCTTGGCTGATTTTCTCGTATAAACTTTGCTCTCAGCCCATCTCTGCTTCTCTTTTGAACCTTCATCTCCTCCATTTCCTCCATTCCCACCTACTATTGTACCCGAAGCCATACATGCACTTCCACAAACCCTAATTCGATCTGCTCCAAAATACTAAGCTATAACATACATAAATACGTATATATATATATATATATATAACTATCTTCTACAAAATCCAATAATTCAATATATTAAAACCCTGATTTTTCTCGGAATTCAAGGTGTTGATCGAACTGTATGCACAAAAGAGAATTTGAGAATTTAGGGTTTTTCAAAGTAGAGAAAACTAGGGTTTTTACAGTAGTAGTAGAGTTTCGAAACCATACCTCTTTGTCGACCCTCTGTCTCTCCCTCCCTCCCTCTCTCTCTCTCTATTTCTGTTCGCGATCTGCAGTTAATGTTCCGTTGAGCCGCCGAAGAGCCATCATATCATATCATATCACCGATGATAAGGTTTCTATTACATCCACGCGCCTATGTGGTTGGGGAACATCACGGATGAATCAGCAGCGTAGATTTGGTGGCGTAGTGCTCCGATCGACTGGTTTTGATAATTTAGCACGCGCGAAGAGTGGCGCGTGGATTTAAAGAAGGTAGAGAACAGTCGTCTTCTGACTTTGGTGTAGTCGGCTCGAAGTTTACCGGTCATCTCCGGTAATTGGGCTACGACTTTGGGGGATGTCCGCCCTTGGCTTCACAGGCCCATATGATAGTACCAGCTCCAAGCTCAAGTTTTAACGACAAGGGCATGCTTGTCATTTCACCCGGAAAATTTTCACTTTTTTTTTTTTTAATCTCTCTTCAATTTTGATTGTAGACAAAAAAATAAAAAATGTAAATTATAAATACACTCCGGAAGTTTGTTTGAAGTACAAATTGTTTCTTGTGATTTAAAAAATTACAAATATTTTTTTGTCAAAATTTTTTATTTAACAAAATTAATTAAAAAATAAAATTTATAATTTTTCTTCTATACAATAATAAAATTATTTGAATTGTTAATTAAAATATATTTCTAATATAATTAAAAACTGTTAATTGACTTGATAATTTATTTAATAAAAATTGTGATTTGTTATGAAATCAGAAACGTCAAAGGGTGAAATATAATTTTTAAAATTATAGAAAGCGATTCGTTTTATAATTAAATCTCAAAAAATGTATTTATAATTGATCTAAATAAAAAATAGTGATACCTCCAACTAAAAGACTTTGAGTTGGAGTCCATAATTAAAAGCGTTTCATAACATGGTTAGGGTTGTATTTTAATAGAAAATCATATGAATATTTTTTTATTATTTTTAAATAATAAAAATCAAATATTATAAATTAAACTATAAAATAATAAAATAATTTTTGACCTCTAGATAATTCGTTCTGATCCTTAACCTCCGTTGGAGGTTGACACATAGTCGAGTCATGTAGTTGACTTGGAATTATTTTTCGGAATCAGTATTAAAAGAAAAAATTCAATTTTAGATATATTTTCTGAGATTTATTTAAAGTATAGATTGTTTCTTGTAGTTTAAAAAATTATAGATATTTTCTTATTAAAAATTTTTATCTGACAGAATTAAGTAAAAAAATAAAATTTATAATTGCACTTCTATACAATAATAAAATTACCTAAATTATTAATTAAAATATATTTCTAATATCATTAAAAATTGTTAATTAACTTAATGATTTATTAATAAAAGAGACGATTTATTATGAAATTAAAAACCTCAGGGGAGGAATGTAATTTCCAGAACTGTAAAGGGCGATTCGTATTTTAATTAAAACTCAAGGGATGTATTTGTAATTTATCCTAAATATTATAACAAAGTAAATATTAAATATTAAAATTTTAATTTTATCAATTTAAATTTAAATTTTATTTATTTATTTTAATTTAAATTATTTATCTATTTCTATTAACTAAAATTAATGAAAAATAAATATTTTAATTATTAAAAAATTGACACAAAGTCGAGTCATATAGTTGACATTAATTTTCTATTTCAAGGAAGATGAGCTCCCTTTGCAAATGAGTGAGTATTAGTAATAAACTTTCTTCTTGTTCCTAAAAAAAAAGGAAAAAGGAATAAACTTTCTTCATTATTTGGGCAAATTATATCCATAGTCCCTACATTTCATTTTAGTTTTTACAATTTTAATTAGCTCAATTTTGACTGTTAATTTTATATTTTATGTTGATATGGTCTAATTGATAACGTTATTAGAATTTTTGACAGAAAATTTTTATTGAATTAGTTGAGATTGAATCACTTAATTGATTAAGTTTATAATTTTACTCTTAAAAGTATAACACATGTTGTTTATGTACACATTTACTATGAAAAATACTAATAATTGGAATTAATTAAACCAATTTGATACAAAATAGATTTAGAGACAGAGAAGGTGAGCGAAATGAATGAAGTGGCATATTTGGTAACTATCTCATGGTATTATAATTATCAACAATGTAACATCTCTTAATTTATTATCTCTAAATCCAAATGATGTGACATTGAGATTAGAACTCATATGATAGAATATTTAACAAATTAAAAATTGACATTTATTAGACACGTTATTAGAAATAATTTTTAAGAGTAATAAATTAAGCGTGTCAAATATTTTTCTATAACTATATGAAACAAATGTATGATTAAATGAATTCATGAGAATTGATATTGAATCTAGCTTATTTTAGTATTTGTTTAGGGAGAATTTTTTTAGTGTGATTCTTTTTTATTTTTTTTTTGGCTAATTTAGCTTCGTTTAGAAATTCATTTTTAACTTTTTTTTAAAAGAAAAAATAAAATAATTATAATATAACTATGATGTTTTATCTTATTAATTTATTTAACTTATTTTATTTTTTCTTACATTTTTTTAGTCCTACCCCAAACCTAATCCACGTGCCAAACAGCAGCTTAGTAGCATGTGATTGCTTTTGTATATGGGTATTTGCGTATTGTAGGTTGGAGTTTGAAAATGAATTTGTTCAGACACTTTTCGAATGTAAATAATACATAAATTATTATTGATCTCATATTATATATATAAAATATTTACATACAAGTTTTAGTTAAAAAACTTAGGTTTCGTTTGTTTTCAGAAGTAAAATAAAGGGGATTATTAGTGAGGGGACTGTTAGTGAGGGGACTAATAGGGAGGGGATTAAGAAAATTGTATTTGTTTGATAACCAACGGACTAGTAATAGTTCATGTTTGTTTTGAGAGATAGAGATATGATTAATCATGTGAAATTTCACAATTACCCTTTTTGCATTATTATCAAATTTAGACTTATACCAACTAAAGAATAAATAAATTTTTACTCAATGTTATTCTTCTTTTCTTTTCTTTTTTTTTTATTTTTTAAATTATTAAAGAATCCAATTATCAAAAAAAAAAAATAGTTAATGTTATTTATTTATTAAATTAATGAATCCAACTATCAATAAATTTGTAGTTAATGTTATTCTCTTCTCTTTTTTTTTTTATTCTTTTTGTAAATATTAAATAATCCAGCTATCAATGTTATTCTCTCTCTCTCTCTCTCTTTTTTTAATTCTTTTTTGTAATTGTGTATGATGACAACTTTGAAAGATTGTCACCACCAGCAACCACATGAGATATATCAACATGAAGTGTAATATTCCCATACATAAAATGACAGGTAAATGACAATACAGTTAAATTTCTTTAATAACACCAAAAGTGAACAGAGCATACATTGAACGACATCAATCTAAACCCATCTGGCATGCCTAGTTTTGTTAGTAGTATCCATTGCAAGTGTGGACGCATACAAAATGCATATAACTACAACATACAAAAAATAAAAAATAAAAAATAAAAAATAATCATGACAACTCATCTATAACGGTAGATGAAAAGAACAAAAAAGCCACATAGCCAAGCACATCATGATTCTGGCGCACATTTCTTTGTCAAAGTTTGGCTTGACGAGCAACCCATAACCTTCTAAGGCCGCGTTTCATCAGAAATATACTTTGGGAGTCCAAAGAATGGTGCCTCATGGAATACTTGGCATAGTGCGGATACCTAAGCATCCAAAAACCCATCTACATTGCCTACAGATACCACCGCTACTTGGCACAAATTCATTTCCTCACATGCTCGGGAATAAGACGTTGACGCAATTCAGGCGATGCCCCAGCCAGCTCTGTAAGAAATTTCGGCATGATCAACAAGAGAACCATCAAACCCCCCCCAAAAAAAAAGAAGGAAAATTTAAGTTGACTCACATTGAGGCGTGAAATTGAAGAGAGGAGGGAGCGGTCTACCATTTGGCAAGCTTGTGGTTGGCTCCCTCAAATCATCAAAGAAAGGATGTGCACATGCTTCCAACTGAAGAGGTCATAGATTTTGATTAAAAGACAAATCTCAAAACAACATTTTACAATTTCTTTACCAAGGTTGAAAAATTCTGTACGATTCAAAACAAAATAACAATATAATCTATTGATTTCAAAGACAAATCATAAGACAATATTAACTTATCAACTTGGCTAATGTCTTATTAAAAATATAATATAATAATGCTATATTAGGATATCAGAGAATAACATTACTTGCACATTTCATTTTTCTATGAAAAACATTCGGTGCAACGTAGATTGACAATGGCCTTTTTAATAAATTGAAACAGAAATTGACAATGAGCTTTTTAATAAATGTCCACATATAATGATTTTTCTATTTCATATATAATAAGCAAAGATGAAATTTCTTACAGCAGTGCAACGTAGATTTGGTGAATATTGGAGCCACATCGACACAAGATCCACAGCTTCGGCTGGCATTCGCTTGTTAAAAACCTAGAAAACGTAAGTTCATTAGGTTTGGTTGTCATGAAAGTAATGCGCTTATTATCAATGAAGATGAGTCAAAGATGCATCCTCTATGTGGAATTTCTAACAAACCTTGTGCCATGGGTGTGCTTTGATCTGAGGAAATTTGAACTCCGAGTAATTTGGATTTATGCATCTAATTTCCTCTCTGGTTGGTGTCCCCAATATCTATAACAGAACCACCCAAGAAAATAATAATAATAATAATAATAATAATAATAATAATAATAATAATAATAATAATAATAATAATAATAATAAGAGAATGCACCAAACAAATATTAGAATATAAAAGTTTATACAAATAAATTACTAAGAACCTTAATTATTTCCACCAGCTGATCAACCCCACTTTCTCCAGGAAATAGAGGCTGCACATCAAACCACATTCAATATGCATCAGGACCAGCCCCATAACACGTTCCAAAATAAATGAAGTTTAGCAACAACAATCTTATGGTTATACGTGGGTTTTATATAACACACACATATATATATACTGCTTAGTCCCAAACCCTATAAATTAATCAGTAAATTTCAAAATTTCAAAAAAGCACAGTAAAATAAAAATTGTTATAAAGCTACAGAAGAAATGCAAGGCCAATGCAGAAGAAAAATATCTTAAAGAATGATATGCAAATGGGTATAATTGAAGAAGCATGGTAGGCATTCATCTAAATTCGTATACCACATTCAAAAAGTGTGAGAATAAATAATCAACAAATAGTAATAAAAACCAATTATCACTAAGCAAATATTTCATTAACGGGTGCCGTAGTATACTGCATACAAGTCCCTATCCTGATTTCTTGCGGGGTAAAGTGACATCTT